ACCCACCAGCTGCTCCTTGGAAACCCTATTCAGGGTCACTATCGGTCAGAAACAACTCAATGGCTGCTAATACCAAACAACAGCAATAACAAATCTGTTTTAAATCTTTCCATGATATACTCGTAGTATACCTTATTGTATTGGCAAATACTTAACAGTTGACTCCCACCTGTCCCCCATAAAATAAATACCTTGTTGTTTTGTCAATTTCTATGACATAAATAGTTCTATTGAGGCTAATTTCAAACTACCAGTGTAATGTCATTAAATGCAGATTTGGAAAGAGGTGTACACAGTTTTTTTTTTTAATAGTAAAAACATTTATTATCAAGGGAACTGGGGAACACATGTGCTTTAAATACTGTGTATTTGGGGTGGGGATACCACACCACCACATAATTAGAACAAAAGACCTGGTATTTGTACACCTCAGACATCTTTATTTCACTCCTGTTATACCATGAATTCATAGGGCATAGGTTCTAGCAGCTCAGGCTCCTTTCCATTGGTTCTCACAAAGTGTGCCTCTCTGTGGGGAGCAACCTGGTACTTTAGCTGGACCCAGGTACCTTTCTCTTTGGCTTCCTTCTTTTTCTGACCATTTTCCTTCACTGGTTTCAGGAAGCTGCCTTGGCTCTTGTTGTTGTTGTGTGCTGTGGAGCCAGTTCTTACTCATAGTGACCTTGTACAGGATTTCTGAGGCTGTAAATCTTTACGGGAGCAGAAAGCCTCATCTTTCTCCTGTAGAACTTCTGGTAGCTTCGAACTGCTGACCTTGCGGTTCGCAGCCTGATTCATAACCCTGCTACCAGAGCTCTTCTTAATATGTATGCTCAGTGCGCACATTAATTCTCTTGGAGTGAATCTTGCCCTTGACTTGCTTGGTCACAACAATGCCTACAGCATGCTGGGTCACATTGTAGACTCTTCCAGTTTTGCCGTGGTGACATTTGTGGGGCATGCCTTTTTGAAATGTGCCCATTCCCTTAATGTCCACAATATTGCCTTTCTTGTAGATTCGCATGTATGTGGCCAAAGGAATGACCCCCTGTTTTCTGAAAGGTCTGGAGAACATATAGCGGGTACCCCGCCTGTTTCATTTTGTGATCGTCATCTTGGGGGATTACTGCAAGATGGCACCTCCAGCCAAAAGGCCACAATTGGATTTTGTTAGTTGGTAAAGCCAACTCCAACACACAGCCAGTAGTGTACAAACAATATACTAAATTAGCTATTTGCATTTCATTGGTTAAGAGATTTAAGTTACAGAATTAGTAATTTACCTGCTTGACTTCATGAAATGAGTCCTGAGCAAATGACAAGTATTTAGTGTGTTGTAGGTGACAGAGTAGAGAAAAGACAAGTGTGAAGTAACCCGATTGGCTCTTTACTTCATTAACCTTTGAGGTCTGATGTACTTATTAAACTTAGATTAAGAATAGCTTTTCCCTCCTGATGTTAGTTAGGTCTGGAGATGAAAAAAACCCCCACTAAAGAGTTGCATTCTATGAGAACTATATGTTTCTTGATGCCCTTTGACTATTCAGTTATTTCCGTCTTCCATTTTAAACCTCATTGTGAATTTTATTTCTCCCTTATTGTACTCAAAGGACTTAGGCAAAATTAACTCTGTTTTTCTTTTGGAAATTTGATTGGGCTGGGACTATGTTCTTGTTTTTAAGTGCTGTCATGTTGGTTCCGACCCATAACAACCTTGGATAGGGTTTCCTAGGAGCAGCTGGTGAGCTTGAACCACCGACCAGAGGTCTCTTATTATCGTTTTTCAATTCAGATGACTTTGAGAATTTTTTACCACGTGAATTTTAAGATTACTTATATTTAGCCTTATACTTTGAGAAAAGCTGTATGACATGGACATAGAATCTATGGTATGCTGATATCAGATTTTCTAATCTGTATACGGGGGCTTCAAAAAGTTCCTGGGAAAATGGAATCAAAAGAATGAAATTTCTCCATAAACTTTTTGAGGCCTCCTGGTATGCATAGTAGTATTCTGATGGAAGTGGAAAAACAATCAGAATAAATACATATTGTGGAATCATTCCATATTAATGATAAAAACACATAATTCTTGAATTATGATATGAACATTATTTGCTGGACTGAAATTAGAGAAGAAAACATTTTAAAATCTCAGTATAATTTTATAGTGTTTTTGTGAAGTTGAAGTCAATAAAAGTGAGTTTTCTAAATAATGATGGATTTTAAGCTTTTAGTTCAAACTAAAATACGTAGTCTTGTTACGGTTTAATATTAACTTATAAGGTTTTATTTTGATTGTGGTATTAATGATATGATCTAATCTTCAGTAAGTTATTGGGGAAATTTTTATAAAGGACTAGAAATTATTTCTCTTTAACAAAAGCTTAAACTTATTCTGCATTCTCTTTTGTAGGTCACTGATGAATTATTGGAAAAAATTGCATCTAGAAGTCAGAATATAATTGAAATCAACATTTCAGATTGTCGCAGTATGTCTGATACTGGCGTGTGTGTTTTAGCATTTAAGTGTCCTGGACTTCTGAGGTATACAGCCTACAGGTGTAAACAGCTTTCTGACACCTCCATTATTGCGGTTGCCTCGCATTGTCCTTTACTTCAGAAAGTGCATGTAGGCAACCAGGACAAACTTACTGATGAAGGACTGAAGCAGGTAAATTTTAGCATTTTTCAAATGATTTTACTGATCTTAACTCAAAATCATTTATTTCAGCAATAATTTAAAATGTTAAATTACATAAAAAATAATGCTAAGAAGAGGCTGTCTATGTCTAATGTCCGATGGATCTTGGCTGAAAGCAGAGAATACCAGAAAGATGTTTACCTGTGCTTTACTGACTACAAAAAGGCTTTTGATTGTGTGGATCATGATAAGCTATGGACAACACTGTGAAGTATAAGTGTTCCGGAACACTAATTGTGCTCATGAGGAACCTGTACATGATCCAAGAGGTAGTTTTTCGAACAGAACATGGGAACATTGAATGGTTTAAAATTAAGAAAGGTGTACGAAAGGGTTGTATTCTTTCACCATACTTATTCAACTTGTATGCTGATCAAATCATCCGATAAACTGGGTTATATGAAGAAAAACGTGGCATCAGGATTGGCATTAACAACCTGCGATATGCAGATGATAACAACCTTGCTTGCTGAAAGTGAAAAACACTTAAAATACTTATTGATGAAGATCAAAGAGCACAGCTTTCGGTATGGATTGCATCTCGATGTAAAGAAAACAAAAATCCTTACCACTGGAGCCATAAACAATGTTCTTATTCCTGGAGAAAAGATTGAAGTTGTCAAGGACTTCATTCATCTTGAATCAACCATCAACACTCATGGAAGCAGCAGTCAAGAAATCAAATGACATACTGCATTAAGTAAATCTGCTGCACAAGACCTTTTTAAAGTGTTGAAGAGCAACATGTCAGCTTGAGGACTACAATGCCCCTGACTCAAGCCATGGTATCTTCAATAACCGCAAATGCATGGGAAAGCTGGAAAGTGAGTAAGGAAGACCGTAGAACAATTTATGCATTTGAATTATGGTGTTGGAGGAGAATATTGAAAGTGCCATGGGCTGCCAAAAGAACCAACAGATCTGTGTTGGAAGAAGTGCAGCCAGAGTGCTCCTTGAAGGCCAAGATGGCCAAACTTCATCTCTCATACTTCGGACATATTGTCAGGAGGGACCAATCACTGGAGAAGGATATCATGTTTGGTAAGGTGGAGGATCAGAGAAAAAGAGGAAGACCACCAGTGAGATATATTGGCAAGGTGGCAGCCTCAATGGGCTCAAGTGTGGCAACAATTGTGAGGCTGGCTCAGGACTGGGTAGTGTTATGTTCTGGTGTGCATAGGGTTGCTATGAGTCAGTACTGACTCAATGGCATGTAAGAACAACAACAAGAAACTACATTGAGTCTTCTTTTTATGTACTCATGAATTTGTTTAGGGTAGTGGCCTAGAGTGCTATGACAATAGTTGATGAATTAATTTTGCCATGCTTTTAGCGAGAGTTTGAACTTTTCTGACCAGCTTTTTGAATAATTTATGCTTTAGTTACTTTTTTATCAAATTTTGCTTTAGGTAATAGTATGCAGTTTGGGTCAACATGTGTTTTTTAAAAATTAACTTCTCCATTTATGTTTCCTAGATGACATGCTTACATGCTTTGACATACCTATATTTTAAGGCATAAATGAAAGAAGAGCATAAAATAAAGGCAAGGCAATAAATAAATAGCTGTGTTTTCTACAGTAGTTTGATTAAAATAGAAAGTTTTTTCACTTTTTTCTTTTTAAAAGACATTTAAGGATTGTTTGTTCAATGTGAACTTTTATTCATCCATCAAATTCTTAATAGATATATGTGTCAAGCCTTAAATTTGGGAATTTGAACATTTAGTAACATTGCCACTGTAGTTCAAGATATTTTAAGTATTTTCACATTTAATCTTTACACTAACTGTGTGAAATAGCTGGTGTTGAACTCATTTTATGAAGTAAGAAATTAAGAGACATTAGTTAAATGGCCTGGTCCATAACAGATGGTAGAGCTAGGATTTGAAACCTGGAACTTCTGAAATCTCTACCTTCTTTCCACTTTTCCAGTCCCATTAACTGTTTTCTTTTGAACATGAGTATATTAAAGCAGTTGTTGTTAGGTGCTATTGAGTCAGTACTGACTCATAGCGACCCTATGCACAGCAGAATGAAACACTGCCCAGTCCAGGGCCAACCTCACTACTTTTGCCATGCTTGAGTACATCAATGCTGCTACTTGGCCAATCCATCTTGTTGGGGGTCTTCCTCCTTTTCTCTGACCCTCCATCTTACCAAACATGATATCCTTCTCCAGCGACTGATTCCTCCTGACAATATGTCTGAAGTGTGAGAGACGAAGTTTGGCCATCCTGGCCTCCAAGGAGCACTCTGGCTGCACTTCTTCCAAAACCGATCTGTTGGT